TTCTATATGAAGTAGTCGACTGTAACCTTACCTCATCGCCCATGTATCACACAGATGGAAGCCTTCAAGAACTTGAAGAGATTTTGGGATGGTTTCTCCTCTCTGGAATTTTCCCTGGATAACACTAAAGTGCATGGCTTCACCAACTTGGTTTCTTCCCCTTGCTTGGATGAGGACATTTTTATGCTCCACCCAAAACAAAATAACATTCCTTTTTTAATTGATGATCAGGAGCAGGTGCATTTGGACACTACTATTCGCTGCACCTTACCCTCCATTAACAGAGGCACGTGCAGTAGCTGTTGCTTACACTACAACCCAGGAACAGGCACACATTAGGTGGACCATGGCTGTGGATTATGAACATTTTCAAATCATGCTGGACCAAATCACTCATTTCCTCGGATCCATGTTGGCGGCAAGGTCCGCTAAACCATACCACCTGGGACGAACGCTATAAAGTTGAATTATTCTGCCAACCCTGGTCAGCTTCCTATCTCTTCAATGGTATTATCCACAACATTGCCATGAAAGTGGACCGAGAGACCCAGTTCCAACTCTCCATTAGGCTACTCAAGCTACAAAAGTTACAACTACAGGAGTCCATCAAACGCCCAGCATAGTTCACACCTTCAAACCCCGATCTGCGTGACTCCTTTCGTGCGTGCAACTTTTTTTGTAATTGGACTCTTTTCGAAGACCAGTTTGTCTTATCTATGCTCAGCCAGAGTTACAAGCTGCCGGTTATAGGATCTCCGCCCTTGACCATCGATCCGGTTTGTCAAACCTACCCAGCAGTGCAGATACCAGCTCTACAAACCACTATAGGTATGTTGTTGGAGAAGTTAGCGATCAAGTTTCTCAGACTTTCGCCCGACACCCCAGGTTTCTATTCACCAATCTTTCTCATCCAAAAGAAGTTTTCAGACAAGCTTTGACTGATCTTCAACTCGAAGGTCTTCAATGCCAACTATCTTCAGCCGCCTCCACACTTCAGAATGATCTCCATGAACCTTCTGCAAACAATCTTGAAACCCGGAAGATTACATGATCAGTCTTGATCTCCAAGACGTGTATCTGCATGTCACAATCATCCCAGACCATTGCAAGTACCTGCGGTTCATCATCCAGTGGAAAGTCCTCCTGTTTGGCATTTCTATGGCCCGTTGCTATTTACTCATCTCAAGAAGCCCATCACTCAGTTTCTACATTGCCAAGGCATCATGTTCGAGGCTTACATCAACGATTGCATTCAAGGCCAGCCAGATCGACCAATTCTGCTTCAACATCTACAGTTTGCCACCAAACTGATTCACCAGCTGAGTTGGATCATCAATCTCAAGAAGTCAAACCTAATTCCCACCCAATGGCTTCAGTTTATTGAGGCCGTATTCGTCACACGCCTGGGGATGATGTTTGTTCCTCAGGATGGGTCAAGATTCAACGCCTCGTACCTCTAGCGCTGTCTCAAGAACAATCTCTTTGACAGTGGCAGGAACTTGGTGACTTCAGCCCAAGCCCCGACAACCAGAGGTTAACTTCAGCTTCAACCATCCAGAGATTTCTACAACCGTTTCTGCAGATCAACGATCCCCATGTGCCGACGAATGGCTTGACGAATCTAATGTTTGCGAAGGTGTTTGTTTGAAGCTGTTCAACCCCACTCATCACCTGTTCGTCAATGCATCTCTTCCAGTATGGGGAGCTCATCTTCACGAGCATAAAGTGGCAGGGCGGTGGTCACCAGACAAGCAGTCTCTTCACATAAACGTACAAGAATTCAAGGCAGTCATTTTAACCATAGATTTTGGGCACAGGACCTTCAGTCGACCAGGCTTCTCAGTCAGACAAATCGACGGTAGTTTGGTACATCAATCTTTGGGGAAACAAGTGTTTCCCACCTCCTCAGCTGGGTGATCCGGTTCTTCCAACTGATAGATTCTCTGGGCATCTCAGCCAGAGACTGGGAGAAAAACGACATTGCTCTGGGAGGATCTGAATGCTTACGCATTCCCACCACTGAGTTACTACCTCGAGTGTTACAGAAGCTCCAGTCCACCATGAAGATGACACTGCTTTTGGTCTCGCCCTACTGGCCGTCTCGATATTGGTTTGTCGAACTGCTACATCTTTTGTCGATCCAGATCAAGTAGCTCTACCCAGACGAGACAATGTTCTGGTCCATCAACACTAAAATCGACTACACTGGTCCCTGCAGAGGATACATCTTCCTGTTTGGCGCATCTGCAGAGATCACCAAAGGATACACTAGACTAGTTGCTTCGGCAATCGGATCAGCTCATAGCTCTTCCACAGCTCACTCTGCGATGACAAGTGGAGGGCAGACCTTGAAGTGAAGGGCAGACTGTCTCCTACTACAGCATCCGCTCAGATTGTTGCTTAATATCTTCAACACCTGCATATGTCTAAGAAACTGAAGGCATCTACCCTGGCAACTTGCCTAGTAGCTATCAACACGGTCCTAGCTACGGCAACGGGGACCAAGGTTTCAACTGTGCCTGAACTCCAGTCTCTACTACTGTCCTACAAGTTATCAGATCAGTCCGACCTCTGATCAGTTCCGACATCTGGAATGGGACCTCTTTGTTGTCTTCCTACACCTCGTTTCCATTGACTACGAACCTCAAGACAAGAAGGACTTCAAACACATCACTTTGAAGACCTGCTTCCTGGTAGCCTTGGCTACTGCTGGTCATATGTCGGAACTCCACGCACTGGACATTAACCGGGTATGATTCAAAAGGAGGAAGCATGGCAAGGTCTTCCTGAGTCTTCAATGGGACTTCATAGTGACTCTTTACTATCCTCCGTGGTGTAGTGGTTAGAGCGTCCGTGTGGAAAGCCGAAGGTCACAGGTTTGATCCACGGCCACGTCATACCAAAATACGTTAAAGTATGGTACTTGTTGGTCCCTGCCTTGCACTCGGCATTACTGGGTACAACAAGGACGAGTCGGCTCGGAGTTAGTAAAATGTGTCTGTGTGGGGTATTTGTGCTTAACTGCGGCATGACATCTCAGCTTAAATCAGGGCTAGTACAAGCAGCCACACATACACACACATGCACGTTGTCATATCAGCGAAATAATCTTAAGTGTGGCATTATACCCCATTTCATCTCACTTTACCTTTACTGTCCCGCCATTGTCGACCATCCTCGCCCTGACGACATAGAAGTTCTCTTGCTCTGTCCAGTTCGAGCTGTAAAGATCTTCATTGCGGCCTCAAAGGATTGTCGCAGGTCGCAGGTTGTTCATCCCTCTCTCTACAGTTTGGATGAGATCGATGATCCTGTAAGCCTATATCCACGCCGGTCTTTCCGCGCAGCTGCGTCGAACCTCATGAGACTCAGGCCTTAGCGTCTACGATGGCTCTTTACAGCAGCTGCTAACTGACATCGATCATGGAGGGGTGCTTCTGGTAGTCAGAAACGGTCTTCGTTTCCCTGGCTATCTATGCTACCTATCAGTGACTGACATTGAGGAAATTCACCAGTTTGGTCCCTTGTTTCTGGCGCAGCTGTCTTCAGCCCGACAAGCAGATAGGAACGTCCTCTGTTTGCAGAATCGATGTTACCTTGTACATAGCAAATAAAGATGTGTGAACTCCACCTCATCATTGTTCTACTTACCTGTGGCATAGATCTACCTCACCTGACCTCACATCAGGGCATTGCAGTACAGTCATGGTTGAGCAACTTCATCATAGACTGAGAGGCCAGTCTTGTACTACGATGCAGAGTATAGATGCAATTATGTCAGTGAAGTGTGAATACTGAATTCCAGTGGATTTTGATGCATTCCACTCCTAAGTTACTGTTCACAACCTTGACTATGCTTAAGCAAAGGAGCGAGGGTCATTCGATATTGTTCGGAGCTCAGCGTTAAAACAGTTGAGCTAACCAAGCCATCTTTATGTGTGACTGTGGGGATGGTTTCGAGGCAGGGGCTGGCCAGATTAGGGTCGTAAGAAAGGCGAGTCACTTGCTGAGTTCAGCATTTGTCTCTGGACAAATGTATGATGGAAAACCACATTTACTCAGGAGCACTTTTTATTGAAGGCTTCATCTAAAGAACCAAGCTGAAATTTTACCTCTGCAATTTTTACCTTATGAACCTTCGAGTACTACTGACCATTTCAGAAGAATAATCTTCCTCAAAGCTTTGGCAATATAAGTCCAAATTACTGAGATCTATGTTTAAGATATCACACAGGTGACGTTTGATTTAGGTCAACTTGGTGTTGCTCATTTGGGACTGATATGGGATTCTATCATAATTAATCAGCCTCCAGTCTTCCTGATTTACTAAGGAGTTTAGCAGTCAGAGGAAATGACTGTTTCTCCAATGAATATGGGCTGTCATGTTGGAGTATCCAAGAATACAGTCATTTATTGGGGGCTCCATCATGGATGCCTTTTCTGTTGCCAGCCTACCATCTCTCAAGGCTCACAATCAATATGAAATATGAACATTGTCAGAAACTCTGGCTCTCCATCCTAACATTTATCTTTATGTGAAATGGGCTGCAATAGCAACTGTCCACAAGAGAATTAACAGTATGCATTCTAGGTGTCGTGCATTTATCACCCTACATTACATTTTACTATAATTTCATCAGTTGCCTTATTTTTGTCTGTGGTATATATTAGTAAAATATGAGAGTATAATACTTTGTCATTATATCTGTGAGTAAAATATGAGAAAAAAGGTATAACAAAATGTTCAGGGTACCAAAAAATGTTGCTGGATGCATGCATCCATATGTTGGTGCAGAATATAGCTTAAAGAAGTAACTTATTCAGTGTATCTTGTGTTCTGTGTTTTTTTTAATCTGAAATTTAAGCTTCTGTGCCTCTTTAAGTCTTCTTTGTTGGATGGGCTTCTTTTTGCTCACCCATTCTTCCTTAATAAGCTTGTCATGCCATGTGTGCTGATTCTCAAGTATAAAATGTACTGCTCTATATATCAATACATTGAATGTCTTCTTTCAGTTGCGACAACAAGAATGCCTAGATCTGCACATGTACCACTATGATGATGTTTCCTTGTCAACTCTGCTTCAAGACAGGATGACAACTGCAGCATTCAGCTCTTTTGAAAAACTTGCCATGGTGATATTTAATTCTATTCCGATCAAATCTTATGCTCAGTTTCTCCTCCGTCATTTACTTTCTTCAGATTTTCGTGAAGATTCTTACACTGTTAACAAGCTAAAAGTGACTACGACCAAGTGATTAGAGGTATAAATATATGGTATATTGTGGCAAGCACCAGACTAACATTCAGTAAGAACAACAATTATCACAAATGATTTTCAGCATTTAACCCTTCCTGTCCATTGACTTCATCACCTTAAGAATTCTGTTCCCAAACAGACTCAAGCCTATCAAATGGATGTAGTTCCTGAATGACAAATGGTACCATGCAAAATTGTCTGAATATGTTGTCAAACTGACATTTTCAACAGTTTTATTCTAATTTTTATTTTGATTAAAAAAAATGCAGAAATGTAGACCTTTCTGTAATTAATGTATTCCAAATATGAATATTTCTTTTTTTGCAACTATTATTTGTGAAAAAATTCTTCCTTACATCTATCTCTCTGCTACCATTTAGCTAAACACTCTTCAAAATTACTGAGCTTATTGTTGATATTTTCACTTCATATATGCATGTCCCCAGCTACGCCTACTACTAAGTATTGTAAGAAGTTTGAAAGCTTGTGTGTGGAATATGAAGCCTTAATTCTCACTAAGTTCTTTTTCTCTCAACTTTTAGGATAGGTTGTTTGATCAGAAAATGAAAAGAATGTGGATCCTTCCCAACAATGTAGATATAACATATATTTTGAAAAAGATATGAATAACTATCATGACAAGTTGAGGTTTTATGAATCAAAATCCATTTAGGCCACACCTCCAGCTAAACAGACTTTCGATAAAGCGTGTCTGAGGTAAAGATCAAATATGAACTGGCAAGCATAAAAAAAAAATTCTGTAATGTGTAAATGGTAAATTTTGAAATGTTAGAGCATCTTTATTGAGTGAATGAAGGATCTGACATGATAGAGGAATATCTGTGTAAGAACTTGCATAATAGCATCACTTTCAGTTAATTCTAGTCTAAGTGTACAGACTGACATATGGACTAGTGCCAAAAGACATTTCACTATACTTTGACTTTGGACATGTGGCTAGAGTGAGAGACTTTGTATTTGAATGATTGACTGAAGAAAGGTGTTAATAATTACTGAGTTCATGCCTTTTCTAACAGAAATTGAAACCAGAAGATTCTATAACTGATGTTCATTTTATATACAGAGATGTTAGCACTCTCTGTCTGCATGATAACATCATTTCTTTTTGTTGAAACTTAACAAAGTGTTTTGATGTCTCCAAATTCATTTCTTACATTTCCACACACATGGACAAAGAGAGTCAATCCAAACCTGTACCCAATGTTTCAAGGATGGATATTATAGAGATAGAAAATTGTAATATCTGTCCGTCATGTGACATAGCCAAAACATAGGATGTTGTTTTGGTATGTTTTGTGTTAAATACTGTTTAGATACTAAGTTGAAGTATTTCTCATGGTAGTTTCAGATAATATGATTTTTTAAAACATGTGCCTTTAAAGAAAATTTGAAATACATTCTGGAAATATCCCATTCCAACCTGTATTCCAAAGTCTTGGTATATGGATGTGAAGTAATCATACCTATGAATTATTTTTTTAAACATTTCTAAGTTATTGAGCAACTGAGAGGGAAATAATCTAAGTAGTTCTGCTTTTCTAGATGAAATATGTTTTTATTATCACTTCAATAGCACCAATACTATGGTATTGAAATAATTTCATGAACACATGTTTAGACAGAATCTGATCAGGGGCTTTTGAGCATAATAGTAATATCCATAATGATCAATAGTCAGGTATTTTAAAAATATTAAGCTCATGTTTTCAGTTATGTCAGCATGTTAGGAATGTAATCATTAATATATGTATTTTAGGTGTAGAGAGTACAAATATATGAAATTATGTAATCCTCCTTCAGATGGATGATGGGTTTACCCAGAGAAGCAATATGAATGCCAAGTTTGGAAACTTGATGTCAAAACTCATGGCAAGACACTGGCCACAGAATACTGAAAGTGGAGGCAAAGAAATGATTGAGTTTGTCCTCTCATGGAGACCTCTCATACAGTATTTTGAGAGATTTTGTAAGTATTTTACTATGTAAGCACTCTTATATTATGTTACATAAAACCTTCAGAATATAAGGTCAAAGTATGTCATAAGTCAATTACAATGTACTTTGTCCTATTTTGGACTCTCACAAAAAGAAGGGGCAAAGCTGTGTGGGCAAAGTTGGCACAGATTGTGAGCTACAACTGCTACTACCAGACACAGCTATACAAGATGTCCCAACTGCCTACTGCAGATTACGAGGGGTGATGAGGCCAGGTCATTTAACTATTAGAGGCAGTGTCCATATGTTTTTGTTCCTAACAAATCCATTGATATGCCAACTGCGTGTAGGATATTAATTCGTTCTATTCATCCTACATGCAAAGGGTACCACAACTGGTTTCCAAATCTCAACAGTATAGCTACCCTGAAAGTCAACCATCAAGATAAATTCAGGCTGTCCATGTTATGATTGCAGCCAGGTATAATAAGGTGAAAGGTCAAACTATTTAAACACTGAGATCTTCACCAACCAGTTCCCCAAATGAATTAATAAAAATTCCTGTTATTGCAATTACTAAATAACAGTCACGCTTCAACTTTCTTACAGTTGCAATTTTGAAAGAAGATAAGATGTATTCAATTGGTGCAAACTAGCAAGTTTAATGTGTGTGTATAAGTACATGTAGTAATACTCTAGATAAATGCAGGTCAGTCACAGGGGTTTCTGGCTCTACTTGACACTTCCAATCAATTCAAAATATTATGGTGAGTTCATGTTCCCAATCAGTAGATTCAGACTTGACAGTAGCCAATTTCTGTTTCATAGAAATGTTTCTTTAATCTCTGAATTACAAAAGGCATTAGTCCCTTAGTCATACAGATATATTTGATCTGCAGGCTGTCAAGACTGATTTATCATTTAATACAATTTTTCCACAACCCGTATCCCGCGAAAATGGAATTTCCTAGTTCCAAACATGCATGTCTCTACCAAAAGCACTCAAGGGATCAGGGAAGGGAGCAGATCATGGCCCATATTCCGTAAGAAAACATAAACAGTTTACTTTGAAATTACAGTGCTTGCCTCAATACGCAATGTCTCTTAGCTTCTATGGCCCATGGCAGGAATTCCTTGACCTACTCACATCAGCACCAAGACCTCACTCAGCAAGACCATTTACATCTTTCAGTGCTTCCACAAGCCCTTTCTCCAAGAGGATAATTGCAAAGTTTGGCTTTGGTAGTTATGTGTTTGTGTTTCTTTGCAACTGTTCACACTAAAGCATGCTCTCTTCATCAAGACCTCAGCGGAGCCCATGTTCAGGATCAACAGATTGTGGGTGGTCAAATATAGAGCCAAAAGTGTACATGGACAGTCTGGAGTTCAAAGCGGTCATTTTGGCCATCTATCATTCAGCATGTTTTCTTTGATCATTCCTCATGATCCAGTTACACAAAGCCTCAGTTGTTTGTTATATCAACAAGATGCGATCGACCAAATCAGTTTTGATGCAGAATGATGCAGTTTTTCAACCTGGTCAACTTCTTTCACATCCAGGTACAATCCACACATCCAGAATGTGAAAACAGATGCCCTGTCCTCCCAGATCAACATTTTCTGATTGAATTGCAACTACATCAAGAAGTCTGGATTTGACAACTAAAGCCAGTTCAACAAATTACCAGACAAGCTTCATCTTTCTCCAGAAATTTCTCAAAGCTTCAAAGCTTAGGCTTATTCTTGTATGGTGGCACAGAGGATTACCCCTGCAATCATTGTGCCACAAAATATCTTTACGACTGTAAATAAATTCATCTGATGGCTCTTGCACTGCTCAAAATATTTTTTCTCCCACTATAGTATCCCCTCAAGAAATTGATGAATAGCTGCAGCATTTGCACATTCTCCGAAAGCTGAAGGGTTCCACTTAAACTACCTACTTGGCTGCAATTCTGTCATTGTCCATACCACAGGTTAAAAAAAATACCACTGATGCTGAACTCCATTCTCCTATTCAACACTTCCGTATTCCTGTTCAGTCCTCTAACATTGAACCTCTGTGGCAAATGAACCTTGGGCAGAAAATTACCTCAAGCATGTGAATTTCAAAATGATGTTTTCCCTGACTCTTGTGATAGCACCTTGCATCAGTGAGGTCAATGCTTAGATTTAAAAGATACAGTCAGTTAATGTCTTTCTGTATACAGGTTCCTTGCTCCACCATCCAAATGTGTCATAGATACAAAGTACAAGATAAGCAAGTTTAAAAATTTGAACATTCTGCAATATATTGTATAGCTATACTTAGCAAAACTGAAAACTTGACACTCAGGATTTTTTGGACTAGGTTTTTAATATTAGGTTTAAGACAACAATTTCAGTTGTATGCTGTGCACAGAACATCAAAGGAAAACAAAAAACAAGTCTCCCAGAAACTCTTTAACACTGATAACGTTCATGATGTCAAGGTACCCTCCAAAATGAAGTTCACAGTGTGGAGAACAATTCAATGGAGGTCTTCAGTAAAGGTTATGGCCTCCTCTAGTGTCTCTTAATGCCACACTACGTCTCCGGATGGATCTTAGAATGTTAGTAAACACACCCAGAGGAAGACGTCACCATTGCTCAACAAAGTGACGTTGAAGATCTTGCAATGTCTGTGGTGGATGGATTTGCTGACAAACACGTCAATCCAGCTTGTCCCATATGTGTCTGATAGGATTGAGGCCAATCCAGAACTTGAATACCGGCATTTCGTAGGAAATTCTGTATAAGACATGCCATATGTGGTTTTGTGTTGTCTTGTTGGAATGTCAGTCCAGGGCCATGTCTCTGCCTAAATGGAAGCAGGACAGGTTGCAAAATCTGGTCCCTGTACTGGGCAGCAGTTAAGTTCCCTCAAACGACAAGGGAAGAATGTCTGTGTGCAAAACAATCCCCATGCCATTGTGCTGCAGCTACCAAATCTGTCCATTTCACACCTGCAGACTTGAGCGTGACGTTCACGTTGCCTGTGGTACACTCGGGCACTGCTATCAGCAAATCTCAATGTGAACCGAGATTCGTTACTGAAGACAACTGAATTTCACTGTCTTTGATTGAACCTTGTATGTCTTGTGGCCCACATCATTTGTCCATTATGGGGTCTTTGGCCATGAAGTCCAGCGGCACGCAAGCGATTTCTCACTGTTTGTGCAGTTATCCTTCCACCAAACATCTCCCTACTTGTGGAAGTTGCAGTAACAAATCTGTTCCAAAGATGACATAGCCATATTGCTTGATCTTCCCAGAAGTGATATTACACATGACGCTCCCAGACTCTATTGGTCAGCAACAGTTCCAGTTTGATGCTCTCTCATCCTAAGATTAAATATTGTTTGTTGTGAGCAATTAAAGGCTCTTGCAACAGCAACCACACACTGACCAGCATCAAGCCTCCCCATAGCATATTGATGTTCTTGATTTGAAAGGCTTGGCATTTCCAAACAAAGATTAAAATGAAAAGTTTAATTTGTTTTTCCTGTTCAATGTGTGTGTTCAGTTTAAGCAAACATGCACCGAATGACATGAATTTGCTTTTCACACGTGCATTTTGTGTTTTTCATCTTGATAGGCTACAAAGTCAAGGTTTGCACGTGAACTTACAATTTCATGAAATTAAAGCGTTCACACTGTTTACTACTTTTTAATGTACATATAAATTTTATTTGATTAAAGAGAAAAAGAAAGTTTATCAGTGTAAAGTTTTCAATTTTGCTGAGCATATACTGGAAACTGGAAACTTTGTTCTTGGAACATTTCCATACCAGGATTGGAAAAAGGGAGAAAGACAAGTTGTAAGATAGGATAAGTATATAGATTTACAGTTTACTATAAAATATTCATTTCTATTCAAAATGAAAGATATTGTTCCTTATCCTGACTCATGCTATCTGCTTGTCTCTTTCTACTTGCGAATGATAGTGGAACACTTGAATCCTTTTGAAGCTCCCTTAAAAAAAGCGGACGTAAAATCCTCACTCACCCACGAGTAGCCTCCCTTTGCCTTTTGGTGCCCTTTCCTGTCACATGATTGGCCATGCTTGTCACTCTCTCCTTCTTCGCCCCAGAGGACGGTTGTGAGAGCGCCTGGGTCCCTATACGGCACTATATCCTTTTTCTCTTTGGACCTCTACTGCAAAGTTTGCTGTATACGGTTTTAGGAAGATTATACCAGCAATATGGTGTGAAATTTTTGTCTAAAATTATCTATATTGCACGTTGTTTGACATGATTTTTCATCGTGTTTACAATTTATGAAAACTTGCGTTCATTGCAGGTTCCGATTATCTGCGGTTGATCCTCATTTATTATGTCCTAATTGCACTACCACATGTTCTTCCAGCTTTCGCTGTCAACTTTGTCAGCATTTATCTGAAATTGAATTCAATAATTACTTATTTTCTATTCATAGACGTGCTAAGGACTGGTCTAGAGGGCATTCACAAGTCATGTCTAAACCGAGTGATTGCCCTGATAACCGTTTATTAATTGCTGCTGCTGAGATTCACCATTCCAGTGAATTGCCGGGTGTCGTTACGGGGCAGGTCGCTGTGGCAGAGGGGAACGGCAGTTCCAGGAAGAGATCATCATCGTCTGAGATACCCTCCTCACAGTCTAAGAAGACCAGATCGTCTTCTACACAGAAGAGGAAGTCGACTGCAGATAAGACTTCGGTGAAGTCTACCCTCAGCACATCACAGAAGTCGAGATCCTTCTCTGCTGAGATCATCCTTCCAGATGAAGTAGATGTTTATGATGATCCTCCCATCCTCATACCTGAAGTCACAGTCATCAACAAGAAGACGAGGCCCTCCTCTACAGCGACGTCAGCAGCCAGCTCAGCGCAGACACTGACTAATGACCTTCTATCAACGCAGACATCAGTTACCAGAGACAGCAGTTCGTCACAAGTGCAGCGGTCCTCGGAAGAGGCTTCTTCCTTCTCAGATGCGTCATCATCTCTTCAGCAGCAGCAGCTTTCATCGC